TAATTATCGAGTTTTGAGCGCGTAAGTGACATCTCTTCTTATTTCAACTCGATTGATTTAGCTCAGTAGAGAAAATAAATAAAAGTACTAATTTATCTGAACAGACATGGAGAAGAACCATGACGTGAAACAGGATCATAAATTCGCCGAAAAAGTGTTAAGCGTCTTTCTGCTAAAGGCTAAGATTTACCGACTTGTTGAGAGAAGAACCTTAACGAGAAAAACTTAAAAGGGGAGGAGCTGTAGCTGGGTGGACACTGATATTCTGCGGCCTTCCAACCTGTCGCATATAGCAGTTCAACCCCTGTCCAGCAGCAGACGGGCCGAGACTCTTGCGAATACCCAATCATTGAACCGAAGAATATGGGATTCTTCGGTCCGATTTGCGTATCCAGCTGCCTACACGTCATCATCATCTTTCAAAGGCTTTAAGCCTGTACTACCACCGGCCCTTTTCAGGGCCACCAATATTTTCCAAAAGAGTTAAATTTCTGAACATGTCACAATTAAAATTCATATCAAAAGTTCTTTTCCGAGCAATAATGGTCATGCTAAAGAGTATAAACATAGAGAACCCCGCTCAAATTCCTATTCCTACACAAAACACAATCTCCTGCTGCAGTTAACAAATAACATTTATTATATCATACCACGTAGTCCTACGTCACCATTGCGTCCTTTGTAGTTTTTTTTAATACCCCTTGATCTTCGCTAATCCGCCTTTCTACGCCTACGGCTATTTTTCCCATGCTGCAAACCATCTCTATCAGCTGGACCACTGAAGCAGAACACACTGGCCGAGCATATACAAAACGCTTCGGGTTTTAATAAACAAGAGCCAGAGATGAAGAGAAGGGTAAATATTTGTGCTGTATGTGTTAATTAAAATAAATTACAAAACGCGATTCAGGAATGTGTGCCTCTCCTTGCCTTCCGCTAACTCTCTATCTCTCTTACAACCAGGCGGGGAAACCTCGGCTACTGTTTGCTTGCAAGCTTCTGGCGATAAGGAACAACAAAAGGGGTCAGAATTTAAATCCGTTATTAGGACAACGATATCATTAAAATCCCGTGAGTGTGTGTGTGTGTATGTGTGCTTCTACAGGGCAGGGCATAAATTGCCTTCACCCAGGGCTAAATGGAGTCCGGGTGTGGACTTTCGCTAGCCATGATTGTAATGGAAGTGATATATTTTTTGTTTGTTTCGCTGTTCAGCTGGACGAATATGCCTCGCGATTGAGAATATGGAAGGAAAAATGCAAACAACTGGGTGGATCACGGAATGGTGGGAATCGACCGATAACCACCGTAATCCACGGCTCAATAATTGGCTCATGAATTTATGTATGATTGACACGCGGAATTGGCATGATTTGATCCGATCAGATTGCTAAAGAGCCACTTAAGTGGGCGTTAGTGGATTGAAAAGGGGTTCAAATTTAACTTGAAACCATGATATTGAAGCAAAACGATCAATGCAATACTATAGGAAACTCAACAATAAAGATTCGAAACAAATTTAGTTTCATGGAAGAACATCAAGTGAACGCATTCAATTGCCGGTATTGAGGACTTCTGCAAAATGTAAAACGAGAATACATGTCCTCTGTTTGTTCTGCACTCGATCATGAATTTTGCACATCTCATTCGTTCGCTGTTCTCCATCGCTCCTTCACTGTAATTTTCCATTTAATTGACAGCTCATCCATGCTTCGTTTAACTATGGACACAGGAATAATACGGTGGTTTCGGTCCTACCGAAAACCCGTTCAGCGAAAATTAAAAATGCACACCAACTAACCATCCGAACCATGTGCATTCATCACCGGCTCAGAAAGACCATCAAGCAAGAGCGAGTGAGCGAGCTAACAACTGACTGAATCGAATCGAGAGGGTGGCGGCACTGGAGGCAGCTGAGCGCTTGTGTAACAAGGCGATAATTACTCGCCTGTCGGTTGCATGCATGGCGCAAATTTGCGGGCGAAAAAAAAGTGAGAAAAAAGTTCCTCCTGGAATCGAACTCGTTCGGGTTGTGCATGAAACGAATCGTTCCATCCGTTTCATCAATAATGGAGAATTGAATCGCGTGGAGCAGAATAATTTTCGCTCAATAGATTAATTGTCGCCAGCTTTTTGTCACACAAGTGTGGTGGCGGACGGACGGGTGGGAGGCGCGTTTCCGGCAGTTCCTTGCTTTTGTCTTCTGTTGCCGCAGTGATGGCGCGTGTGTGAGAGTGTGAGTGTGGTGTATGAGTGGGGGGGGGGTCTGTTCACAATTGCACAATAGAATCTACCGAAACCAATTTCGCCCCGGTAAAAGAGTTCTTCCCGGTTTCGGTGGAATCGCATTTACCTTTCGCCGCATTGTTTGATGAAAATGGTTTGTACTTGTATTCTGTTAAATAGCAAAGTCAAAATATTAGGATCTTTCATTGTGTTTTACGGTGCACAGGGAAGTAACTAAAACAAAAACCTGGCCAACATTATTTGCTGCAGTTTTGCGTGATATTACGCTTTGTAATCATGTCAAAAATAGTAATAATTGATTTAAAGTCAAATGGGAACAAACACAACAAATAATTTTTGGATTGAAATTTACCAAATTATTTCTACAATTATGGAAAACATGCAACAAGAACAAATAATTAGCTAAATCACTAATATATTGTTTTCTTGATTTGTTTTCCGTCGATTTTGTTTTCCGTGCTGAGCACCAATGCTACCGATGCCAAGGTGACAGTTTTTACTCCTGGTCCCTACCGATTGACCCATCAACTCATTAACCGGGACCACCGGCTTAACTTCCCTTCCGAAGGAAGGTATGATCAGAGATATTATGCCTCAGAACATCCCGGCGGCACCGACTGGGATTGAACCCAGGCCTGCTGGGGTGAGAGATAAGCACGATTACCACTACACCACCGGCGCCGCTAAAGAATAATATTTTGAGTTCATTATCTGTTCGATAGCGGAGATGGATTGAATACCGGAGGACTAAACAACAATTCTTAGGCTTTTTTTAACTCTTCACACTACTAAAAAGGCATTCATGTTTCGGTACCCTGAGACCGACACATGTAAGCGGCCTTTTTGACATAAGAATCAGTTGAAAGAAATGGGAAAATCAATCCAATCAAACGTTCTCTTCGTTGAATTGCTTATGTTTCGGTTTGAGAACACTTGATTTTACCTGAAATCAGGCGTAACATTTGATAACGGCACAAAAGCATTTGTAAACGAACTTTCTAAGGCCCTTTACACGTGAACCAAAGTTCGCCCACACAAACCAATACCACTTTCGGAAAGGTGATAGTTGCCCCTATCCGTTGATGTTGTTGGTTTGCGTGGGAGTACTTTGGTTCGCGTGTTAAGGGCCTTAGAAAGTTTGTTTACAAATGCTTTTGTGCCGTTTTCAAATGCTATGCCTGAAATGTTTGTTTACGTTCCATGATTTACGTCCAATGAAGATTACGGCTCGTGTAAAAGTAATTATTTCTAAGTGTGCAGCCAAAAGCACAGCCCAGTTAGCGAATTCCACTCGCTAACTTGGCTGGCTTGTTAAACGTCAAAAAAAAAAACCTGAGGAGAACTTCAAAGGATTTTTAAATCGACGTTAAACAATTTCACGTGCATTAAATTGAAATAGTCTAAAGTTTGTTACTGTAATTTTTACAGCATTCAAACTCGCGAGTTTAGAAAATCTTAATGTTTTCGCTAATACCGCTTTGCAGTCTAGATTTCAGTGTTGAATTAAAATAATATCAAATTTATTTAACATTTAATATTCCATTCGAATGCCCCCCTCAAATTATGACAACGAAATTTCAAACTAAATGTGACGCCTAGTTTTGACGTATAACTGCTTTTTAACTGGGATACAGCTGCAGTGACTTACCAGTCTTAATGCTTATGATATATATTTAAGTGTTTTTACATTGTTCCTGCCTTTGCAATTCAGTATTTAAAACAGGTTTTCTATACCTGCATGTCAGTATAACAATTGACATCTTAAAACTAAAACCTAGAACTAAACTATTTGAGAATTGCAACGATTTTTGCCTGCAATCATTACGTCACGCGTTTTTTACGGCATCGGACTTGTCAGCAGAGCGAAGGATAAGGTTGTGCAAACTCTCGCACCCATATACAACGGAAGGTCCACCTAAGGAGCGTACGTCACCACGTTCATTGTTGGATATGGTTGAAATCTGTTCCAGCTATGACGAGACACGGATGCTGCTAAATCGGCAGAAGCGAGTTCCAATACCGCACAGCAGTTTGTTGGAACCAAACTTTTCAACTCCTTCGTCGAACCGACCGCCGCAGATGAATCAAGCCATTCCACGCTTTGGCAGAGTACATGCCGTCAGCACGGAAGAAGAACTTCTCCAGAACGACATCAGCTACAACGGATAACAGCAGGTGGGAGTACAGAGATCTGCGGACGCACTGGAAACTTCGCGGACTCCTTCGGAATCCCAGCGCACGGTGGACAACGAGGATTGGCAGCAGAAATTCTTGTAACTGTCGGAACAAGTGACGCAGCGTAGTCAGCAAAACCAGCAACCGAGGCAAAACCTTGAGCAAAGCCAGCCACCGTTGCAGGAGTAAAGGCGATCCGGATTGAACTGCTGGAACTGTGATGAAGATGGGCAACTTCTACAATCCTTCAGAAACTCCAAACGCGGCGATGATCAACACCGTCATCATAAATCCCGAATACGACGAACGCCCGCACGCCGAGATAACGATTATTGGCAAAAAAACTACATGGACTATTAGACAGCGGAGCCAGCTGCTCTCTGTTAGGAGGAAGTTCGGTGAGAATCGTCGAAGAATTGAAACTACGGAAAGGTGAAGCGAGAGGACAAATAAAGACAGTCAATGGAACAGCGCACAGCATTCACCAATTCGTGTATCTCCCGATAGCTTTCAACAACCGGATTCAGACAATCGCAGTTCTGCTCGCACCTTCTCTGCCAGATTGCGTAGTACTAGCCATGAACTTCTGGAACACCTTCGGAATGAAGGCTGTCTGTTATTCTCTGGAGATTGCGAGCATTCAGATGGATCTTGGCAGTAGCATTGAGCCAGAAAGAGCTGAGGAAGAGGAGCCGATGAAGGAGATAACACCGGCTCAGAAGAAAGCGTTGGATCGAGTATTTGCCAAGTTTCCCACAGCAAAGGACGGGAAGCTTGGACGAACCAGTTTGTACGTGCACCGCATAGATGTTGGAGAAGGGAAACCCAAGAAGCAGCTGCGTCACTACCCGATATCGAAGTATGTTCTGGACGAAGTCAACAAGGTGATAGATCGAATGTTGGCCTTGGATGTGATAGAGGAAGCGATGTTCTCTCCGTGGAACAACCCACTCGTAGCGGTCAAGAAGAAAAACGGGGACTTCAGAGTATGCCTGGATGCACGGCACCTAAACTCCATCATGACCAACTAAGGGTATCCCATTTCGCAGATTTCCACCATCATCAATAACCTTGGAGGATGTGCCTACATCTCATCAATAGACTTGAAAGACGCTTTCTGGCAACTACCGCTTGAAGCTGCATCTAGACCGATGACCGCATTCACGGTGCCATCGAGAGGACACTATCAATTTAAAGTGGTTCCTTTCGGGCTCTGCACGGCCAGCCAAGCTCTAGCGCGTTTAATGACTCACCTATTCGCGGACTTGGAACCAAGGGTCTTCCACTTTCTGGACGACGTCATCATCTGCTCCCGGACATTCGAAGAGCATCTCGAAATGCTAGAGGAAGTAGCCAATAGTTTGCGCCGCGCAAACCTAACAATTTTACCAGAAAAATCAAAGTTCTGCCGGGAAGAGATGAAATACCTAGGCTACGTTCTAAACCAATATGGATGGAAGGTCGACGACGAGTAAATTGCCTGCAGCACCAACTACACGGAAGGAGATCCAAAGGTTTCTCGGGCTCTGCAATTGCGGATTTCTCGCGGATTGCGGCACCGTTGACGGAGCTAACCAAGACGAAGGTGAAGTTCCGTTGGACATCGAAGCTCAAGGCAGCATTGGTGTCGGCGCCGGTTCTGATCATGGCGGATTACAGCAAGCCATTCTCGATAGCGTGTGACGCGAGTGGTGTGGCAATTGGAGCCGTTCTAACCCAGGATGTGGAAGGTGAAGAACACCCGGTGTGCTACTTTTCTCAAAAATTGGCAGCGTCAGAGCGGAAGTATTCGGTGACAGAACGGGAATGCTTGGCGGTGATACGCGCGGTAGAAAAGTTCAGGGGATACATCGAAGGAGTGAGATTCGTCGTCTTCTGTGATCACGCGGTATCGTACCTTCTATCGATGAAGAATCCGACTGCCCTAATGAGCCGATGGATTCTCAGGCTGAATGCTTTTGACTTTGAGATCAGATATCGAAAGGAAACAATCAACGTAGTCCCGGACGCACTTTCACGGGTAATAGCTGCTACAACTTTCTGCGCGGATACAGACGAGGACCGTTGGTACGACGGTTTGCTGAACAAATTGAAAACGCAAGGTGAAGAGTTTCCAGACTTTAGGTTGGTGAACAGCGAGATCTACAAGAACTGTTTTTGTAAGGAGGAAGATGGAGTCACAACACACAGATGGAAGCGAGCCGTTACGGTAGCAGATCGAGCATAAATCATCCGAAAAAGTCACAACGCGACAACAGCAGGTCACTTGGGATTTCACAAAACCCTGGACAAGATCCAAACCCACTTCTACTAGCCGAAAATGAGGAAGAACATCGCGCAGTACGTCCGAAGCTGCGGAGTCTGTAAGGCAAGCAAGGCACCCAACACAACTATGATGGCGAACATGGGTGGGTTGAAACTAGCCAGGGTTCCTTGGGAACTAGTTTCGGTGGACTTCGTTGGACCTTTGACGCGATCGAAACGCGGTAACACCGTACTGTTGGTGGTAGTGGACTGGAAAACCAAGTACGTCATCGCGCAACCCATGCGCAGTGCAGATTCCGGAAAAATGGTTGAATTCCTAGAGCAGCAGTTTTCTCGTCCGAGAATCATTCTCTCCGACAATGGTTGGCAATTTGAGACAAGATCGCACACATGAAGACCGCTTTCTACTCGCCGATGGTGAACGACGCGGAGAGAGTCAACCGAGTTCTGATAACCTGTGTTCGAGCTCTTCTGGACGAAAACCATGCAGGATGGGACGAGAATCTAGCGGCAATCACAGCGGCGATAAACAGCGCCAAGCATGATGTAACGGGAGTGAGTCCTCACTTCGCCAACTTCGGACGGGATTTTTTACTCCACACCGACCTCTACGCTCAAGAAGACCTGAATACACCAGAGGATTCAAAGGTAGCTCAGGACATGCGGCTGTCCACGTTGAAGAGAATCCAGAACTTCGTGCTGCAGCGCATAAAGAAGAACCATGAAAAGTCGAAGCAGCGGTACAATCTGAGAACACGTCAGGTTGACTTCAAGATCGGCGATATCGTTTGGAGACGGACCTTCACTCAATCGTCCAAGGCAGATCAGGTGTACAAGAAGTTGGAACCGAAGTACGTTCCGGCTACAGTCAAGCATATTCTTGGGAAAAACATCTACGCGCTAGAAGACGTCGCAGATGGAAAGCAAGGCCGCTATCATGCCAAGGACATCAAGGCGGATTAAGTAACGGTTGTTCAGCTATGTCAGCAGGTAAATCCTGCCAACCATGAGCTTTAAGCTCCATAAATCCGTTGTCAAGCGGGAAAATGACAACCCAGTCAGGTGTGATGAGCAACAACTTTAATATACTACCTCTCCACCTTGATTTGAGGAGTCTGGATGATCTGCAGTTGTTGGAGCTGAGTGCAACCGCACGTACCGTTCACCATACTCAAGAAATCGCACCCCGGCGGGGATCAACTGGAAGAAGATGAAAGCACCGGAATCGCAATGAACAACACCAGTTACAAGGAGGCCGACTCAAGAAAACACGACGTTCGGAGAGAAACCACCACAGGCCCTGGATAGTGTGCTGGCTACTGCTGCGTGATCAACGGGTATCGGTCAGGTCCAGTGTGTTTTAAGATCCAATAGAACGGTCAAATAAAAGGTCTTCTTAGGCACTCCGTAGTAGTTCGGGCGTTTGCATGAAATCTTCCTTACTGAAGTAAAGCGAGCTAAGGGCGCGGAATGTTTCAAGGCAACTTGGAATTTAACCCTTAATTTCTGGGCTCATGCAAATTGAGGGTGAGGAAATGCACTCTTTCTTGAACGCTACGATAGCTATGTATTCGACTGCGGTCGATGGCTACGCCGAATGGCACGAACACAGGCAGCTGTTAGGAATCAATCCACCCGAAGATGTCCTAGCCTTAAGAAATTTAGCCATTAATTATCATTATTCCTCTATGTTATTCATTATTTGTTAGATTATTCTAGTTTTAGTCACAACTAGTAATAATATGGTTGAATGTTTCACTGTGGGACAGCTAGCATAGAGATGATGGACCAGAACATCTCTAGAGACCATTTGCCAAGACTTCGTTGGCGTCTGATCAAATTTGTCTGACAGGACTCACTGTCGTGGTTCGTATTGTGAGTTTTGGATTTGGAAACGGACTCTGGAAAGTGGTACGACTTGCGTAAATTTAGTTTGGAATTATATCCCGTTTAGTATGTCTTGAAATCTGTTCAAGCTAAACTACCCGATTAGTTCAGTCTCTAGAGCTTCTTAACGGAAGTGAAAGTTTAAAATTTTTGGTGAATCGCTGTTAACGATTCACGAAAAATTCAAAACCCACAGTGAAGTTGTGTAGCGTTTAAATTATGTTGTGGTTCTATCACACTTCTATCACGCACTTAATAAAACATAAACGCATTTTGTAATACGCCCCATTGCGAAGTCATTCCCGCATAATTCGCGCAGTTCGAAGTTCGCCACCATCCCTGCACACTTTCGAATATACGCGTCACCGGAAAAAGGGGAAACGTCAACGGAGAAACAAAACTGCATTAACACCAACACCATCGCATCGCTAACGTCGGCCCGAGCTGGAGAGAAAGTACTGGACGAATCATTCGCTGTTGAACCGCCATTGAGGCATCGGCTGTGCGCGAGTGCCGCAGTAGTCGCCGCGGATTTAGATCGAGTTTGAGTACGGTCGATTTGGGGGAGTGATCGCTGTTCGCCGAGAAAATCATCGGATCGAACTCCGGTGTGGTGATTGCAGACGACGCGACACCAATCTTGAAAGGAAAGGAAAGGACACCCGAGGGCACGTCGAGTAACAAACTCACACCGACGGCTAGGTAAATTCTAACCTAGAAAAACATGGCGTCGTCAATGATAAAGCATCATTTACAGATACCACGGGTAGCAACGCAGATCACTATTTCTACTGATATCGCACCTCGAATTAGTTCAGGCATCTTCTGGGGTGACCGCAGAAGACGCGTCACCAATCACGCGAAAATTCAGCACCGAGGACACGTCGAGTGACTTTCAACTCACGTCGACGGCGAGGTACCACGTGCAACACAGACCACTTCTTCTGCTGCTATCGTGCTCGGAACCGGCACAGGCACACTGTGGGGTGACGTCGAACGAGCTCCAATTCACAGGACCACAAGAATTTAAGAGGAAGGCGAAAGAACGGCAAGCGTCCCGAAGAAGGGTGAGTCCTACTGGTGCTGAAAGGTTGGATGGTTGCAGAGGCGGTTTTATTTTTTGTTTAAACTCTTTCTCTGCATTTTTGGTGGTAGACCACAAGCTGCCAGTGGCGGCAACCTCGATTGGCGTACCGGATTGAATTACCGGCGCCCACCATTGTCGAACGGGCAAGGAGGTCAGACTGCTGGTCTTGATCTGGCTCTTCGTGGGAAGCACGACGCTATTTGGCCGAACGGGAGAATTGTGTTCTGGTGCAGAGGATTCGATTGGGCGGCAGACGACGAACGGCCGTGCTGACGACGAGCACTAGGCACGGGACCCACGCGAGCGAGCGCCACAATCGGCAACGCCGGTGACTAAAAACGCTTGAACAGGAGGTCCAGGTGCCTTACGAACGTAGTTCAGCGGTGCAGCGCTACACGAAGACGTCAAGCTGGAGAGCAGAGTAGAGGATGACAGCTTGGTCAACGATTCTGTGAGTACGTTCCGAATTGCGTAGAAGAGTGCTTGCGCTACGGCGTAGAAGATTGAGATGTCGAGCTCAGGCATAGTAGGGCGTGGCGTGAGAGAAGTTAGAAGATCGCTAATCAGCATGTGATGGTGGCATGAAAATAAAATGCGTTTAACTTGAATTTTTGTGGCTTTTTGGTTTATTTTGGTGAGGAAAACCCAATAGGTTTTACATCGCGCCTGGACGTGGGGATGTGCCGGGAAGATTCAAGTTCATGTTCGTTCGCGAAGAAGGCCATGATTTGGCAAGCGATTTGCAGTTGTGGCTCGACGATGAAATCCCAAGTTTACATCGAAGAATGCCTGAAAAAGCGTGTATTACCGTTCATCCGCAAGCATAGGGACAAAGTCATCTTTTGGCCCGATTTGACCACCTGCCACTACTGCAAGGTGGTTCTAGAGTGGTATGCTGCCAACGAGATCGATTTTGTCCCCAAGCTAATTGTTGGAGACAGCCAGTTGCAATATGACTGGGCGTAACGCTACGCTTGACATGACAATTGACATCATGGATGACAGAATAGGTGACAGGACGGATAAGGAGAGTTCAAGACCTACAATTGAAATGGCCTTAACTCCATTTTGTAAACAAACCTTGAAAGGCCATTTTCTCGCGAACCGAAGTCCGCAAAGGCAAACCAACATAATAAACAGGTAGATGAAATTCTAATCTACTCGATTGTGGTTTAGGTTTGCGAATGAAGGTTTCGGTTCGTGAGAAAATGGCCTTACAAGGTTTGTTTACAAAATGGAGTTAAGGCCATTTCAATTGTTGGTCTTGAGTTATTAGAGAACAGAGAATAAAATGATAAAGGGTGTCCACGATGAAATTGCCACACACAAAATTGATTCGCAAAATTCGAGTTTTCATCCGATTGCCATCAAATTTTCAGGGATTGAGAAATAACTATTAAACTTCATTTTACCATTTTACTCGTATTTTATTTACAGTCCATACGCAAATGCCCGCACCTTGGCCTTAACCCCGGCCATAAGATTCTGCACAACCTGTGAATCAACAGTTTTTTGCATGTAAACCCATACTTTCTTCAGTTCCTCGACTGTCTTCACTACCTTAGGTCGTTTAAGAAGGTGCTGCTTCATAATCGCCCAGTACTTCTCGATGGGGCGGAGCTCCGGAGTGTTGGGAGGGTTGAACATTTTCGGCACGAAATTGACCTTATTGTCCGCATACCACTTCAGCACGTCCTTGGAGTAGTGGCATGAGGCCAAATCCGGCCAGAAGATTGTTGGGACGTTGTGGGCCTTCAGGAGAGGAAGCAGCCGCTTCTGGAGACACTCTTTTATGTACACCTGTCCGTTCATCGTGTCCTGGGTCACGAAAGGTGCACTCCGCTTCCCGCACGTGCAGATGGCTTGCCAAACCAGGAATTTCTTCGCAAATTTGGACATCTTCTGAGTGCGGACATGCTCCGGAACGCTGAACTTATCCTTGGCCGTGAAAAACAGGTTGCCGGGGATCTGTTTGAAGTAGGCCTTCACATATGTTTCGTCGTCCATGATGCAGCATTCAACTTTCGTCAGCATGTTGAGGTACAACTTCCTGGCACGGGTTTTGGCGGACTTGTTCTGCTTCTCGTCGCGATTAGGAGCCTTTTGTACCTTGAACGTTCGAAGCCCAGCCTTAGTTTTGGCCTTCTGGACAAAACTTCGGCTTAGGTGCAGCTTCTTAGCCACATCCCTAACGGAGGCGTTCGGATTTCGGTTGAAGGCCCCAACTACGCGGTTGTGATTTTTGGTGTTGTACGGAATACTTTTTCCTTCACTTCTGGGCTTCCGATCGGTGGTCAACCGTTTCTCGAACCGCTTAATCACTCGCGACACCGTGGAATTCACGATTCCCAACGTTTTAGCGATGGAACGATGCGAGAGATCCTTGTTCTCGTGATGAATGCGCAAGATTTTATCACGCACGAGCTGTTCTTTCGACTCCATTTCCGCGAGTTTTGATCACAGGACTTTAAAACTTGCAGGATGTAAATAATGCACTATGAACTAAATCCACCCAAATTTTCATTAAATTCTACCCAACGGTTAAAAAGTTAGAGCAATTTCATAGTGTGGCAATTTCATCGTGGACACCCTTTACTACCGAAGACAGATTAAAAACTATTACTTATTGAATTCCTAATCGTAAGTTTACATGAATTAAAATACTAGCAATTAATACATTAAAATGTATATACAGATAGCACAACACATAAAAAACACTTTGTTGACACAGTGAACTTCAACACGTGAAGAGGATTAAAATTTGTAAGTTTAAACATTAAGTTTGTTTAAATAATCTAATCACTAAATAAAGCTTACAGCTAAAAGCATTCTCACTCAAGACATGAGTTTGCTGACGGAAGATCCAAAAATTCACCGTAGTTTACAATGCCGTCAGCAACAAACTTTTAGAAATTTTACCGACCATTTGGAGGTTAGCCGGGTCCAGTATCAATCTGTCGGAAGCGATACGATTCGCCGTTGCAATATG